ACCAAATACGATATGAGACAAAGTTAGTAGGACGGATGAAAAAGATAAAATTAGACAAAAACCGAGGGTGGAAAGGAGTATAATTCATAAGGTTATTTCAAGTTTAAATACAATATCCATGAAATGAATCTAACAATGTTTCTAATGTCTGACTTCATACCATAACTGCTTTTATATTCAAAATAATTAAAATGTGAAAATAATGATGAATAAATTACTAAAATTAAATGGGTGAGCGAAAATTAATTAGTGACTACTCCCTACCTCCCTTATAATGTTGCAATCTTTTCCTTTTTAATTGTTTTACAAAGTAAAAATTTTGTTACTTTCCATTTTAATCAATTAATTTACAGTTCCTTTTATTTCCTTCTCTTTTACACAAATCTCAATCATACAATTTTTACTTTACTATTTTTCTGCGTCGGTAAATTTTAATGAAATTGTGGGAGCAAGTGGTTGAGCAAAGACTTCGAAAAAGTGTGAAAATTTCGGAGAACCAGTTTGGTTTTATGCCAGGACGCTCAACAACTGAGGTCATTCACCTTCTTAGACAAGTTATGGAGAAATATAGAGACACTAAAAATGATCTGCATCTGGTGTTCATTGACTTAGAAAAGGCATATGATAGGGTACCTCAAGAAGTCCTTTGGTCTAAGAAGGTGAATGACCTAGTTAAGGTATCTCCTTAACTAGAAAAGGCATATGATAGGGTAGTACCTCGAGAAGTCTTTTGGAAAGTCCTTTGGTGGGCCTTAACTATATCAACATCATCATGGATATGTATGATGCTTGTACTACAAGTGTCTGCACTAGTGTAGGGGAGTACCACATAGTTCCCTATTACTATTGGAGTTCACCAAGGATCTGCTATAGTCATGAATGAACTCATGAAGTCAATTCAAGAAGATATACTGTGGTGCATGATGTTTGCCAACGATATTGTATTGATTGATGAGACGCAATCTGGTGTTAAAGCAAAGTTGGAAGTATGACGACAAACATTGGAGACCAAGGGTTTCACACTGGGCTGGAGCAAGATTGAGTATATGGAGTGCAAGTTTGGTGGAGGTAGAAGTAGTAGAAACAGTGGGATTACTCTTGATGGTAAGGAGATACCGGTGTGTGATATGTTTTGTTACTTTGGCTCCATAATTCAGAAGGATGATGAATTAGATGGAGATGTATGCCATAGAATCAAAGCCGGGTTGATGAAATGGAAGAGTGCATCTGGATTTCTATGCGACCGAGGTATGCCGAATAGACTGAAAGGTAAATTTTATCCAACAACAATTAGGCCTGCATTAATGTATGGCATAGAGTGTTGGGAGGTGAAGCAATGTCGCATTCATAAGATGAGTGTGACAGAGATGCGTATGTTACGTTGGATGTGTGGACATACCAGAAAAGACCGCTTGAGGAATGAGATAATCAGACAAAATGTGGGAGTAACACCTATAAAAGATAAGATGCAGGAATCTCGTTTGTGGTGGTTTGGGCATGTGCGTAGAAGACCAAGTGATGCACATGTTAGACAACTTGAGGGGTGGGGAGAAGAGGCAGAGAAGAGAGGGAGGGGAAGACCCAAACAAACTTGGATTAGAGGAATCAAAACTGATATGCGTCTTCTTTTCTACCTTTCCTCTCTCTTCTCTTTTATCGTTTATCTTCTTTGACTTTTTATATTCTAATGTTATTTTTATCTTCTAACTCTTTATGTCCTTTTATCTTTCTTATATTCTTATGTTATTATTATCTTATATTTATTTATCTTTAGTTTATCCGTTTTTATCTTTTTTTGTCCGTCTTCTCTGTTTGGCATCGATATCATAGATCGATTCATGTTAGCCGACCCCGAATTCTTTTGGGATTAAGGTTTGGATGTTGTTGTTGTTTGTTGTTGTTGATAAATTTTAATACAGTTTCTGCGGACGGTGATAGTATACATATGTTCTTTGAGGACCTGATGTGACTATGTTGCACGGATACAAATACACCAATACGCCGATACTCGAATACGAGTACGACGATATGAAAACTTTAAAGATTATAGGATACTGGTACGGGGATACACTTATAAGTAATAATAATATAGGGTGTACGTACTTTGCAAATGTATATAATCCAAAGGTTCGTAAATAAAAAAAAATAGTACCAAAAATTAACAAATGCAATAAAATTTCAAGGATTAGACTAAAAATAAAACCATAGCACTGATATGTCAATTTCAATTAAAATAATACTCCCTCCGTCCCGCTATGATTGTCCCATTTTACCTTTTCGGTCCGTCCCACTAAGATTGTCCCATACCTTATTTGGTAAAATTTGTGTGGTTCTAAATCATTCTTACTTTATTCTTACTTTATCAATTTAATATCAACCACATAAACCCACTTTTATTAATAACCGTGCCACCTTCTTTTGTCCCAAACTTAGGGGGACGGAGGTAGTATTTGATTCGCTATTTGCATTTACATGTAAGGTTTTTTTTTTTTTTTTTTTTTTGCATTTACATGTAAGTCTTTTAACAAGACCTATTCCAATGAAAGCTATCAAGCGACAAATCGGCAAATTCAAGTATTCCCAATATTTTAACCAATGTTTCACATCTTGTGGTGGCCAGGACGATTACAATATTCTCGTGGGGCGTGTGTGAAATCAGGGCTATATGGTTAGATACCTATATCTGTCCACGGATGCATGTATCAGAAGTATTTATATTTTAAAAACGAAGTTCAATACTTTTTAAAATCATGGATACAAACCCAATGCGCACATGACACATATCAGTGAGTATCGATATCGGATAAGTATTGATGTATCGGATACACATATACAACATTGGGTGATGTATCGGTGCATCATAGGATGTGATATTTTTATTTTCGTGTTGAATGTCATTTTTTGTGATATTTTAGATTCTTTATATTCAATAGATCAAACTTCTAATATCATTATCTCTCTAGGCGGCCGTCTCCCCTAGGGCTAGCAGTTGTTTTTCTCCGCTTTTTCTTGTGCGGCTTTTGTCCGCCTTTCGTGAAGCTCTCTCTCTCCTTCGGCAGACCGCAATGCCTATATGGCGGCCAAAGGTTGTGTACCCCTAGCAACAGGTGAAGAGTTTCGAGGATGCTGTTCATGGTTGAGATCAGAAGGTCATGGAAGAAGCGTGGGGCTGGAACAGATCTGGTCTAGAGGCAAGGAGCGGAAGATGCTACAATACTGTTAGACCGTCCCCTTCTTGAACCGCCGCCATGGAGTGCATGAGAGTTTAGGGTTTGGAAGCAGTATTTTAATTTTACTGTTTGTTTGCTATTTATTTTTCATAATCAGACTGTTTATTTTTCTGTTAGTTACTTTTATTGTTGTAAGACTCTTGCATTAGGATTGAGTGATGAGAGGTATGCTTTAGCCGTCATTGGCTCATTTATGCCCATTATAAGATCATCGAGTTATATTGCTTTTTCGGAGGTGATTAACTCTAAGTCTGGTTCGAGGGCTGACGGTTGCCTGTGGTCCTTTTATCGTTTTACCCCCTATCTGAATGCTGTTATTTGAATTTAAGCCATCTGTTTTGACGATAAAAAAATAGATCGAACTTCTAACGTAACTTGTCAATACATAAGTTTTAATTAATATTAGCAGTACAAATGTTACTACCTCCGTCCCATTTATATTGAGACGGAAGAGGATGACACGATTATTAAGAAAAGTGGGTTTGTGTGATTGATATTAATTGATAAAGTAAGAATAAAGTAAGACTGATTTAGAGCCACACAAACTTTACCAAATATGATATGAGACAATTTTAGTGGGACTTACTGAAAAGATATAACGAGACAATGTAAGAGGGACGAAGGGAGTATTAGGGAAGAAATGAGCCTTTCCCCTATCAATGTTATAACTTATAAATCAATGATGACTTGATTATGGCATATGGCATGGATATGTAAAACTTATGCCCAACTAAGAAAAAAAGACCAATCAATGATAAATCTAGTACCTGACATGGTCTCACAATTACAAAAATCTGAGAGGAAACAACCCTTTCGATTTGAACACACGAAGATGTTGTCACAAATTTACTGGATTGAATTTCATTTACCGGATGGATTGTGGATGATAACTGCGACATCTATTCTATTTTTGGAGTCCCCCACAAAGAGCTTCCGGTTTAAGAACGACAGGTTGCGGTCTTCTCGCATCAAAGCCCAACTGCCGGTATGCCGCCGGCCGATCAAAGACCGGACGACAAATCAGCCGACTCAGCTCAAGAATAATGCACATGCCCATCACCGGCCGAAGAACGCGACGGCACTTGCCGGCATTGCAACCGCCCGCGCTCAAGCCTCTCTTCTTCGGCTTCCTCTTGCTCTCTCCTCAGTTTGGAGTCGTACCCTGTCCAGGACTACGATAAGCTATGGAGGGTGTACACTGCCTCAGTCAAAGGTTTCATCATCGACGCTGGCATCAAAGGCGGCCTCGCTCTCTTCTCCGTTCTAGCTCGCCTCCGCCGCCGGCGATCTTTGCCTTACGCAAAGTAAAAAAATTATATGCATCCTTTTAAGATACCTGATCGGTGCTGATTTTACCCAGATATGTGTTTTCATGTATGTTGATGCGGTCTGTTACTTGTTTGATGTTCTGTTTAGGAAAGCGCTAATGGCTTCCGGCAGCCAAGATGTGATTTTGGTCGTGAAAGAAACTCTCAGATACAAACTATTTCTTGGCACTTTTGCGGGTACATTTGTTTCGGTTGATGAAATTATTTCTGCTCTGGGTGGTCACCGTAGGTAGTAGTGCTTGATTTTATTTCTCACTCATGGAACTATTCTATCTCTTTTGAGTTGGTGAAATTATTTAGGGAGGATTGATTGATCACTGCAGTTTTTTGTCATTCCTAATAACGATTTCAGAACAACAAAATGGAGATCTTTGCTAGCAGGAGCAATAGCAGGGCCTTCGATGCTACTCACAGGTTTGGATAACCAACATACAAGCTTGGCGTTTACATCCTTATGCGAGCTGCTGTTTTGGCCTCACGATGCGGAATAAAAAGTGAAAGATTTGGGCATGTTTGTAAGCCACTAACTTGGGCACACGGGGACATTTTTCTAATGTGCCTATCCTCTTCACAAATTCTGTAAGTATATCTAATGATATCCAACTTATATTAGTGTTTGGCTACTTGCTTAAGGGATTGTTTGGATTCTATGATATCATAATGTAAAAGGATCAATACTCTTAACATGTTATTTTCGGTGACGATTTGTGCAAGTACGTTTGTTTGTCTGCTGTCAGTGCTCTAACTGGGGATGTCGAACATCGATATGCCATGAACATGTCTTTTAAATAAAGAAATGTTTGAGTTTATATACAACCTTACACTTAGATCAAAGCTAAGCAGCTAACTTAAAGCACTCCTAGGTTCAAGCTATGAAACTGAATGTTCTCTTATAGTCTATCAGTCTAAGGATGCCTGGCACACAGAGAAATAATATCATGTCTTCTCAACGATCAGTATTCAGTAATATTCACAATATATGAGTAACATTCATCAAGACTTCACATGTAAATGTGCTTTTACAGTTTATCCATCTGAGAATGTTTTTAACCATGTCTAGGAACAAAAGCAAACAAGCACTCATATGCATCACTTGGTTATCTTTTTTTGATAGATCCTAGATTCTCATGGAAGTACCAAAAAGTTCAACTGCGTCTTGACCCATCTTACAAATATGATGTACACCGCTTCTACTGATATATTGATAATGCTTTGTACTTTAAGATGGTTTTGGATGTCTTATTCTCTTTTTCATTTGTGCTCTGTTTTGTGTTTGGAAAGTATTTTATGAAACTAAGAAATCACTATATTTCAGGTCAACTTATATATTAAAGCAAGAGAGTCTTCCTCAATCTTACAAGTCTTTTCTCAATAAACATGGAGGAAAAGACCTTGTTATATTAAATGGCGTGAAAGACCTTGCACGTGGAAAGTCTGTAACAAATTTGCATGTCATAGAGAAGCATTACAAATCCACTGGTCTAGACATCAAACTTGATCCTCAGATGAAAGTTCCTTGCTCGGTATGTGTGGAGAATTGAAGTTTACTGTCCTTCCTTATTTGGACAATGTTTCATGAATGCATACTTCTGTGAGCATTTTATATCAGATAGTTAAGACTAGCGACTCGAGAAAATGTTGTAAGTTTATTATTCGAAAAAAGAGAAAATAAAATAACTTTAACTAAACCCTCTAAGAGCCCTTAAAGGCACTCTCCCCTGGCCAGCCAAATGTTCTTGCCTCTCTTCTCTGAAAGGAAGTTTTTTATAGTAGAATATAACCTATAGTAGGGTGAGAAATATATTGCATATCACTCAACACGCTAAGTTGTTAATCGATTAGCCTTGATTCTATCCTAATAAAAACCCACCTTCCTTGCTAATTGGTTCCTAGCCTCTAATGAGAAATCACAATTTCTCTTAGGCTTGTAATTAGTTTCCTAGACTCCTACTTTCCTTCCCTTCATAATGGGTTGCTATCATGCACACACACATAATTATTTATTTCCTTGCAGTGAGTCAGTGGCTCAAAAGGTTAGGCAGTTTAGGGTCACGTACTCGCATCCTTTTCACGTAGTGGAAATATTGAAAGTTATCTCATATTAATGAAATACTTCTTTTGCCATCACAAAAGAAAATAGCTTATAAGAATAATCGAACAATCTATTCTATACAGATAATTGAAGTATAGGCTCACTGTCATCTCAATATCTTAACTTTTTATAAAGGAGCATATGAACTATAGTTCCCTAAAGCTGCAGATGTAGCATATGGCTATTAGATATAATGGTCTATGCTATGTTTAAATGCAGAATAGTAATTTATCTTCTGGCACCTAAAAACATATTCTTTCACATTGCTCTTTTATTTACCAGTATAGCTGTGTATTTGTGTGAAACAATGGGCCAGTAACTGCTATTCAAAACATGCATGGTAATGATTCTTTGAGTTTGCGCATCTATACAAACATTCTCTATTTTAAGTTATGCCAATACCCAGGTCTGCTCTCATATGTACATTGCAGATTTGTGAGAAAATCTCATCTTTACGCAGATGGTGCATGGAAATCAAACATGCGGGGCACATTTTTTAACCTTCCTAATTCAAGCTTATAAGAGAGCTCTGCCTGTCTACCTTCCAGTTTATTTAATTCCTGCTTTGATAGTGCATCGGCAAGGTCTCTTGAAAAGGTTATCTTCTTACAATCTTCTTTATAGTTTGTCATTTTCCATCTGACCCTAATTTGTGCTTTATTCCATATTAATTTTATTGAGTTGTAGGCTTGTGGCACTTTCAGTTTTCAAAACTCTACTCTATAAGGGATTTTGTGTGAAGGGGTTGTAGAATCATTTTTGCATTACTTGTCAGTAATATGAAAACTGGTGTGAATTGAAATTATTCAATTCGGTACGCTTAACCAGAAACTACTTAATTATTGCCAATAAGTTATGTTTATTCTTTTTACCTTTTGCTCTCTTTTATGTTCAAGTGTGAAAAGCTGCTACAGTAACAAGAAAAATGTTTCTTTCATAAATCCATGATTTTTATCTCTTATATTTATCACTTTTAGTATGCTTATATTTTCATCTGAAGAATCTTCCAGGCTTCATTAAAATGAACTTTTCTGGAATAGCCTTTTTTAGTTATAACTCTGATTCATGATATATGACTTTTTATCTCCATATCTTATCAGGCCATATACAATTTTGTGGAAGGGTATTTTTGGGACAGCAAGATCTAGTTTGTTTCTATCAGTATATTGCGCGTCTGCTTGGTAAGCAATTACTTTGGTATTTTGATTTCACATGACTTCACATAATCACATGCCACTAAGGCTTCCCAATGTTATAAATGTTGATTGGTAGTGCTTTTCTCTTTTATTTCATATTTAAAAATATACTTAATGTCAGAGTTTAGGCTTCTTGTCATTCTGTAAATGAAGTGAATGTCTAAACTAAGAATCTATGATTAACGAACACTGTTGAGTGTTGAGTCTTAGCCCTTGTTTGGTTTTAAAGAGGGGATGAGAGGGGAGTGGTGGAAAAGAAAGTGGTTAAAAAAATTATTATGCTGTTTAGGGTGTGGGAATAAATGTAGGACAGTTTTGGTTTGAAAAAAGAGAGAAAAAAACAACTCCCCCAACTCCCCCAAATAAGGGACTGAGTTATGTGGAATTTGGAGGATTTTAACGGAGAGTCCCGTGTGCTGAGTGATGCGCTACACTCTCTTTACTTAACAAACCTCTCCTCCGGTGATATTCGAACACAAGTGGATTTCTGGGAGTTGAGGTTTACGTTTTACAAGCCAAGTTCGCTACTTAGGCAAGTATGTCGGGCTTGCTATCTTATACGATAGTATTACATGTTTAAGCTGAAGCATTTACTATTAATTTTTAACTAAAAACCATGAAAAATAATAAGTATAGGTATTATTATACTGCCCAACTATGTGAAACCATATTCTACATAAGCGTTATGTTCATATGTATTAGGGTTTTCATCCCAAATGCATTTTGAGTTTTGTTAAACTGTATAATTTGGAATACTATTTGTGTTTCCGTGCTTTTATATATGAAGTATTATCTTTATAAATTGTGAATGACAGTAATTTTCCCTTTACATCTTTAGAATCATATATAATTAATTATACATATTTCATTGTTCTACTTTTTAGTCACTATTGACCAGGTTGACCCTTGACCCGGTCGCTTGTCCTGTTGTTCGGGTTGACCTCTGGTCCGGTTTTGACAACATAGGAATTTTGAAGGAAAAGTATTTTTTTTGCATTATTAGAAAATGGTGTTTTGACACAATAAGAGTTTACATTAAAGGGAGTCAAATGATGAATTCATATAGTTTCATTGTAGTAGTCATTTATTTATTGCCATTTTACATGATTTTTAAATTCACTCACAAACTTACCATTCAAGATTGCATTCAAGAAAAGCTATAATCCCTATAAGATAGGACATTTTCTTCCCTTCCATTTGTGCATTGTGGGTTTATCTAGATATACAGACATACAGAGTACTTCATCTGTTCTTTAATTCTTACAACATTGTGATTTTTGCACTATTCACAGATCTTACTTTGACCACGATTTTCTACTAATATACATAGTCAAATTATTACGTATAAAATGTTATTGAATTCCTACCAATGTGAATTTCCAAAATATCAACTTTTTATAATGTCTACTAATATATAATTAAATACAATTACAATCAAAGTTGTGCGTTGGCAAACGTGAAAGTCAAACTGTTGCAAGAATTAAAGAACGGAGGATAATATATGACTATATTTATTTGGACTCACTCAAATTCATCATTGTTGTCTGTTCTTTGGCTCTGGACCTGCATCCTTTTTAGGATTTTACAGAGATGTAACATACCTGTGGTTGCAGCAGGAACGGTATTGATTAATAAACATTAAAATTACGTAATTATTATTATTGTTATTATTATTACTCCGTATTATTCTATTACTGATGTTTATTGTTATATACATATATATTTAACCTTTAACAAAAAAATACTGATATTTATTACTATACTCTGAAGTATTAGTTTTGTTTACTGTTGTTTGGGTTACTGGGCAGTTTCCGACAGGGTTGGCCTTGGGAATTGAGAAGAAGAGTCGGCGGATAGAGATCTCACTTTATTGCCTGGCACGCGCTATTGAAAGCTTCTTCACAACGATGGCGGATGCGGGGTACTTGCCTCGAGGGGCTAAGAATTTAAAGAGAGCAGACGTGGTGATTTTTAGCATTTCAACAGCAATAATAATGCATTGCTATGCCATAGAACAAGACGTCTTCAAATCCAAATACTTGAATGTTCTTGATTGGGTTTTTGGCGTGCCTCTTCCCCCGTACGAGACAACTCCTCGAAACAAGAAAACTGTGTGAAGAGTTTAGGCATTTTTTTTATTAAGCTTGACTTAAGTTTTCTCTCGCAAATATACCGAACATGTTAATGTGTTCCTTATGGAGCCTATTGCTATTGTGTACGGGCTCGTCACAAAACCATAGAACTGGGCCCCATTTCCATGAGAGCTTGCCCAATGCAATAATATGTTCCATAAGGAACACCTTAATGTTCTCAAAATATTTTCCGTGTTAGCTTATAAGGATAATTTGGTCAAAAGTTAGTGGTGCCATTGTGTGATGATATGATAGGATACAGTTAACATGACCTTCCGAAAAAGGGGTAAAAATTGTTCACCATTGTACAATAATACAAGTACATGGTTTCACAACACTGTCTTTAGAAGCTGGCATCTGTGGCTTATTAAGGTTGTGTTCTTTACTTCTTTACGAAGTATATATACTCTTCGCTAAATAATAGTTCTGATACTCTGTACAATGTATGATGAAGTAGAACATTTTGTTATTTATAATATGGAGTAATCATTATTTGATATTAATATTTTACTTTTAATGTACATTTTAATCTTATACAGAAAAATAGAATACTTTATTTTTGGTATCCTTTAAGTTTTTCTCTCCAACTCTCCAAGCCCTAATTATTGTCACAACAGAACTTGTGTTGAAATATATATTAGCCTTTTCTGTTTTTGTCTTGAGATATATATTAGCCTCATAGGCATCAAGTATTACTTATTCTATTCTTTATTGATCTCCATATATGACCTTTTATTGTTATCTACAAAATGAAAACGTGTTGAGATTATTTTATGGGAATAGAACAAAAAATGTGAAACTCCCAATTCATTCAATAAAAAGAGATAATTAGGGACCAAAAAAGGAAACGTGAAAGGCAACTTGGTAAATAAGCATTAATGCATTATATTATTGATGAACATAAAAGGTAACAAAGTTATTATATATTTTGAATTCATTCAAGGAAAAAGAAATACACCTTATTTGGCAATCGGCTGTTACCTGGTTATGTCAGCTGTTTGATCACAGCTGGTTGTGTTAGCTGGGTCTGGCGTTTCAAATTTCGGCTTCTTCGCAGGGATCAACAGAACTGAGAAGCTGGTTACCAAAAAACATTTTTGACTTTTTAACCTAGTCAAACATCTATTTTGAGTCAAACAAGCTAAAAAACGTAGGAGTGGGATCAGTCCGATCTGGGTCGGGTTTTTGCTCAACCTGGAAATTACACGGAAGGTCTCACGTTAGTTTCGATTTTCTTGCGATTTGGTTTATTTTGCATACGATTCACTTTTGGCGATTGGGTTTTCGATTCCACTTACCCACCCCTATGGTAAACTTATATGAGCTAAAACTTGGTTTTGGAGATCCACATTTATAATATAGGAAGTATCATTTAAAACTTTGCCTACTTAATTTATTTTATATTTAATTACTTTGACGTCGTTAATTCTTTTTAATGGGAAACCACTTGATTATAATATATAGTTTAAAAATTCGTAGTTAATCATTCAAACTCAACTCCTTGCCTCCTTGGATGATCTGAACTTCCCATATCAATGGAAAAACGTTAACCACGGTTAGTGACATGTAGTAATATCAATTTGATGTATTACTAGTATCTTTACCCGTGCGATGCACGGGTTTAAGTGATTTTGATTTTTAGTTTTTGAACAGAAAATTACTTATTCAGTCGATTTTAATGTTGGTTTATAATACATATTCTAATTTATTGAGTATGTTTTGTTTTTAACTAATTATCTAAACATATTTGCAGCCAATAATTTCCAATGAAATTAATCTTTTCAACTATATTTACCTAAACAAAAAATGAAAATGCTAAATGCCTATTTTTTCCATTAAATTTCATCCTGGTTTATTGTTTTTTCAAAACTAACTACACATTTTTTTAGTTAAATGTATATGTAAAAGATGGAAAGTACATCTAGGAATCTAACTTTAAAGTACTTCTTAAGTGTTGTTAGGTACTACACATCCGCATTTTAACTTCTTATGTTCTTCAAATTTGGGGTTTTTAAAAGTTCTTTTTGTTAAATGTATTGTATGTGTATTTGCTTAGTTATGTTTGCACCATTTTGACTTTAAGGATAAAGTTATATATTAATATATTTAAAATTAAAAAATATAAAAAAAAAACATTTTAAAATTGCAATACTTGTTTTACATTTGGAATACATGTACCTTAAGTTAATTTATACTACCTCCGTCCCATATTTATCTTCATAGTTCGGTTTACGATGCTTGACTGACGATAAAGCAACTCGATCCCTGTTCACACTCGGATTATTTTTAGTAAATAAAATTTACATATTCAGAAACTACATTAAAACCGCTACAAAGCCTGATCAAGAAAATTTAATTTTGATAAAAATTTGATATATAAAGTAAAAGATTAAGAGTAATTTGAGTTGACAATGTGAATAGTAACTATGAAGATAATTTTGAGATGGAGGGAGTAATAGTTTTTTATTACTCATAATATCACACCGTATATGTTTAAGCTAAAAAATTAGTCCAAACAAAAAACATCTTTATTACTGTTATTAGTATTATATCAGGAAATTAGAATGTGCAAAATGATTCGGAAGATTTATTCTAATCTAATATGGAGTTTTAGGGTGGATTCCTTGCTTTTGAAAATTTCTAGTTTGATGTCCTATTATCTGGTTAATTTTTAGCTCTTTTTGCCAAACAGATTTACCTCATCCAACTAAAAGTTCAAAATTATGTTCTAGACAATAGTCTTGAGTTCAGACAATAGACTTTAATTCAGACATTAATTTCCACCTACAGTTCTATATGCCAAGCATCGCCCTAATCTATGAGCTCGTTTGGCAACCTTTGTTTTCATCTTATCATCAAATGTGTTAATCAATTGCGTAGTTTAATTTTGACTTCGCTCGCTGAATTGGGAAATAATCAAAGTATATTAGGTTGGAGTAATTTTCTAGCTGAATTAACTGAATTTACTATAGAACATTATTATAACTATTTTTCATGTATTTTTGTCTTAACTTAATTAACAAAATATATTTTAAATACAATTTTTCAATAACTCAACCAATGCAACACTTCAGCCATAATTTCACCTGATTTATCTGATTTAGCTAATTTCAGTGTCACCAAATGCGTTCTACGTATCCAAATAAGAAATTGTTTTATGTGTCGTCTAGAACAGTGGTGGAGGTAGAGGGGTGGCCAACCGGGCCATGGCCCGCCCCAGATTTGAAAATTCTTTGTATTTTCAGTGTAAAAATTTATGTGAAAAAAATTATCTCAAAAATTCTTTGTACCGGCCTAGTACAACCTTCAATCCTAGCTACGCCCCTCGTCTCTAGAATTACTAACCCTAACCCATGTAAGACACAAATTTACCATTTTCAATTTTATCTGATTCAGCCAGTTTCAGTGTTTCCAATGGGCTCTATGTATCCAAATAGAAAATTGCTTTATGTGCCTCCTAGAATTACTAAACCTAACCGGTCTAAGACACAAATTTATCCTTTTCAATTTTCTTTTATTAAAATGCTTCTCGTCGTATTCTAGCATTTTACCCGTGTAAGTTGTACATATTTTTTAATTTTTTAATGTTTTTTAAATGTTGGTTTTTTTCAAAGCTTTTATTTCGCACGCTGAATTATGTAATACTCTCTCCGTTCCGCTAATATTGTTTCATTTTACGTTTTTTGGAAAGTCCCACTAAAATTGTCACATATCAAATTTGGTAAAGTTTGTGTGGCTCTAAATCATTTTTATTTTATCAATTAACATCAATCACATAAACACACTTTTATTAATAATCGTGTCACCCCCTTCCGTTCTAATATTAGCGTGACGGAGGTAGTAATGAGAAGAAAAAATAATATTGAAGTTAATTTTCCGGCTGTAATGACTAAAGTTACTATGGAGGATTATTTTGGCCATTTTTATGAAAAAGAATCTATATTTTATTAGTAACAAATATTTTAAATATAATTTTTCATAAGTCACCAGAATCCGTCTATCCAACCACTCCAGCCAGAATTTCATAAATTTCAGTAGAATCAACCGATACAACCAATTTCAGTGTTATCAAATGAGATCACAATTATAAATTATGGAAATTTTGTCGTGTTCAATTATAACTCATCAGGGCCCCACCAAAATATAATGTCATGTTTATTTTAATATGGTGTAGCTTTTTTATTTGCACTCCAATTGTTACAAAAAATGTATCAAAATTCACAATTTTTTATGATCTTTCATATGACACGAATGTTAAATATATAAAAATAAAAAATAATTTAACACTTTAAAACACCTGTCTTGTAGAAAAAATAAAATTGGAGTTGATTTTCTGGCTGTATTGGCTGAAGTTATCATGGGGGATTATTTTAGTTATTTTTCATAAAAAAATACTCCGTATTTATTTTGTTAGCAAAAAAAATAAATCTAATTTTCATAAGTTAACAGAATTAGTCTATTCAGCCACTTCAGCCAGAATTTCATAAATTTGAGTAAAATGCCGATTCAACCAATTTCAGTGTTATCAAATGAGATTGCAATTATAAATTATGGAACTTTTGTCGTGTTAAATTATAACTCATCATGGCCCCACCAAATATAATCTCATCTTTATTTTAATGTGGTATGAATTTTTTATTTGTGATCCAATTGTTACAAAAAATGTATCAAAAAATATAAATAATTTATAA